TAAAGCAAATTTAGTTGCCTTTTATAGTCTGAGGAGTTTTCCAAAAGTTCTTGAAAATATCATCTTTCCTTGAATTTTTGACGCATGTTTTTATTCACCTTTGATATTACTTCATTTGACATACAGTGACCTGTCTACTGCCCTTCAAGAAATTGATCTTGACAGCCATGCAGGTTAATGCACGTTAGCAGTACAGGTTACACGTATGCCTAGTGTACAGTAGTTGGTGTTCAGTCAACTGCATTGACTGTAACAGTCATTACCTGGCTCATTTCTCACTCTCCAACCCTCTTCATACCCTCATCTTGCTGAGGAGGTGGTTAAATTCTGAAGTCAGTTCACAAAGGAAGTGTCAAGGCCAGAATGGGAACCAGGGAGTTCTCAGCTGTGTCTCTCCTCATTTGAACTCTATCCCACGAACATGGTGGCCTTCACCAGCATGGCACCGGGGCTCCAAAATCCCTTTCAGGAGTTGTCTGCTCTTTCTCTTTGATGGATTTCCTGCTATTTTCTTAACTGGATCAAAAGAATGATTCTGCACAACCCCTCTTTTTGCCTGGTCATTCATTCCTTGCCCAGGACCCAGGAAATAAGACCAGTCTCTGTCAGTGTCTGTTTTATCTCACTAGAAGCTTTCATGCTTGCCCTTTGTGAGCCCTTATCCCCTAGGCTAGCTGTGGAACCAGCCCCATGCAAGCCTGGACCAGAGTGGAATTTAAGGACATCTTCAAGAGTGATGTTAATCCTGAGCCATGGTGGCTTGAGCTGCTCTTTGAAAACTGAGGACCTGCCCTGTTTCTCTTCTCTGTTGATCCTCACTCCCATGACTCTGCCCGAGTTTCATGCCATCTGGAGGCTGAAAGTTTCCATATTTAAAACTTCAGTTCACACTCCTGAAATCCAGATTCATCCTTCCAACAGCCTACTCCACACTTCTTCTTGGATGCCTCATGGACATCGCTAGTTCAACATGTTCAAAACTTCTGACTGTCTCCACCCACAGACATGCTCATGCTTCATTCACAGTCATCCCCATCTAAGTTCATAGATGTGTCTTCCTTCTGGTTGCTGAGCCTAAAAACCCTACAGTCTTGCTTCACTCCTGTCTTTCTTTCACATCACACATACACTTCAGAGCATCAAGAAATCATTTAGCTTTTCCCTCGAAACATACTCAATCATGTCTCGCCCTCTCTTCGTCTTCAGTGTGGTCATGGACAATGCCATTCCTCACCATTTAGATTGTTACAATCATCTCCTAAGTTCACCCTTGCTCCTGTGTAATCTATTCCCAAATATCAAATGTCCAGAGTAATACTTTCAGCAGCAGATGTTGTCACTTTGCTCAAGATACTAGATTGGTTTGTTTCATAGGGGAAAGACTTGCAAAACACTAATCCCATTTGGAACCAAACAGTCCTTCTTGGACCAATCTCTGTGCCTTCCCTGGTCACTCCGTATGGCCATAATGGCAGTGCCACTGTGTGCTGCTGCATGACATTGATGTCCCCTGCAGGTCTCATGACAAGGGAAGTCAAGAGTTGCAACCAGTTTAGGCAGAGATGAGCCTGAGTTGCAATTCTGAATAAAATATGCTATCAAGAATCATATAATGGATAAAGCATGAGCATGATAAGTAGTTTTAACATCTCAGAATTAAGTTTTTTTTTCTCCATAGAGAAGAAACATAATAGGAAGAAAAGACATTGAACAAAGTACTCGACTCTTTGCTCATCTATTACAGAGCCTTCTGGAAATGTTCATTTTGTCCCCCCCCCCACTCATCTCCATGGGAAGAGTTTGGCATTGGAGTTGGCTAGACCACTTATTGGCTTAGTAGAAAGTAGACAGAAATGTGTGTGTTTCCAGATGAAGTGTTAGGTAACATCAAGTGTTTCTGGCCTCTGACATAAGGAATCCTTACCCTGGACGTCCTCCTAAGTGCTGGAAAAAATGAATTATGCGGTGGAGCTGAGCTGCCTCAGATACCTGCAGATTTGCAGTGGGCAGCAGGTGGAGCTATCCTGACACACAGATGCAGCAAGCAGCAAGCATTAGGATTTGTTGAGTTGCTGGATTATGCAATCGATCACTTCCTACATGCGTGTTCTTGATCAGGAGACTAGACTTCTTAAAAGTCTTGCTTTTCTCTTCTGGAGACTTTTGGCTTTCTGAGGGGGCTAGCAATTTTGAAGGACCCTGTGAGGAGTCCTTGATCACACGCTGTGTATTACACAGACCTTGGAGCGTGACAAGTGTTCACTGAGCATTACTCAGCTCATTGGTGGAGTGTACGCTGCAGCTCAGTGAGCAGGGCCACCTGGAGCTACGCTGGGGTGAATTTCCTGGGGAGCAGCAACAGAGTGGGGAGCAGTGTAGATTCTACGTTCTCCAGTAGTGTAGCTGTGAGGAGGCAGACGGGGGTTGATTTCTTTTTATTTCGCTAAGAAGTATGGATACAAGTCATCCCTGATAAATGCCTCTGAGCAGGTGGCACTGACTTCATCTGGACGGGAAGTCTCTGACCAATGCCAGCACAACCTGCTGCCTTTTGTAGAGCCTCAGGAGAGGCTCAGTGACCGTACACAGGGAAATGACACCTGTTCCAGGGCCCCCTACTTGTGATACCGGACCTCTGGCAGGCTGGTCGCCTCAGGGAATTTAGCCAGAGGGAAGACTGCTATGGGTTCCTGCTGAGCAAATCAAGCCTTTTGGCGACAGTATCTAGGGCATAGTGGTACCTGGGCCATTCCCTTGTATCATTATCCCCATGGTGTTACTCTCCTCGGTTATGTGATAAAGGTCGCCATGGGAAACACCTCTTTCATCCCCTGCTAGAGGGTAAGAGTACAAAATACCTGTTATTAGGGGCTGATGGCAGTTGCTCTCTCTGCAGACCAGGGTCTCTATATCTAGCTTTGCCTGCCTGCTTGCCTTTTCTATGTCTCCGACTGGCAGAGAGGATGCAGGACACCCTTCTGTTTGCATTCCTAGAGTGTGACTTCTGAGACACAAGGGTACCTGCCTTCAGTATTCACTCCTTAAGTCAGCATGGAGATCTGGCTCCAGAGAATCTTTCCGGCCACTCCCTTGGCCTCAGTTGCTGGTACTGCAGCGGGCTGTTCATCCCCCCCATTGACCCAGGCCTTCTCCAGTACTTGGATACCTTTTGACAGGTCACTGATGGCAATGGCTGATGAAGTCAGCGCGTTTCCCTTTGGACTCTTCATGGCCCCTTTCCTGCCCTCAAGGTTTTGTGCATGCTGCTAAGGTTGTCTGTCCATCTACTTCCCCCTTCCTCCTCTCTTCCCCTCCATCCCATCCTCTCTTCCTCTCCATCTTATCCCCTCCCCTGCTTTCTTTCCCTCCCCTCACTTCTCTCCTCCTGCAGCACAGCTGCATCACTTAATATTAATCGGGCAAGTTCTGGGAACGGGGTGGGGAGGAAAGTGCCATTAATGATTGCCTCTGCAACTGGCAATCTGTCCGATTGTGTGTTGGGACATAATATGTGATTTCATGGCTCTTCACGGTCTCTAAACTGCAAATTCAAGATTATTTGAAAACATTTTATTTAATTTTCATGCTTTTTTAATCAAAAAATGAAAAGAATAATCATCTTTTATGGGCAGTTATAAATGTTCTATTTACACGCAAGACAGAAATCTCTCCCCTAGCTGAGCAATCTGCGTGTGTGCTTACAGAAGATGTTGCAAGAATACTGATGAGGAGGGAGGAGGAACGTGCATGGAGACGGCCTAATTCATTCTTCTAGGCAATGTTTGTCTGGGTGGAATGATTGTCCAGGGTCATTTGGCACCCCATCAGCCCCCAAACCCAGCCTGTTCCTGTGGGAGGGGCACGGCAGCGTACCTGCCTTGTGGGTAGGGCTGGTGTCTGGGCTATCTTTACAATCCAGGAGCCTCGCTTGGTGCCTGTCAGGGGGTATGCATGCATGAAATATTGTTCAAATGAATAATAGATGGAGGAGGAAAGCATTCTCTCTCTTCTGCCTCCAGCAATCTGAGGTGAGACCTGTCAATAGTCGCTCTGTCTTTGCCACATCACCATTGCAGAGAGGCGTCCCAGACACAGCTGAGCTCCTCGCTGGGTGAAGGACGTGCCAAAGGGGTGTTCAGGGTGTTAGAGTGCCTCACCTAGTGCTAGAAGACCTTGAGGAACCTTGGGCTCAGTGTTTGCCTTTCCAAGATGAGGAAACGGTCCAAGTGACTAACTTCTTGATGGACAAAAGGCCTGCATCCCAGTTTCCTGCTGACTGCTAATTAGGTCACAACTGTTTTTTCCCCTATACTGATACTGGTTTGTTTCAGTTTTGGTGTGGGCTGTGTCATCGAAGCTTTCACAAATCCCGGCATTCTGGGGTTTCAGTGGACACAACCATGGTTCCCTATTTTCTTCCTTTATCTTTTCACTGTTCTCTTTTCTGCGTGAGTTGTCTAGGGTAAGACAGTCTGAAAAATAAAAGAAACTGGGTAGAACCCTCTAGACCCACACACTACACATGGGAGTGAAGAAGGATGCCAGCCATTGTGCCTGTGACTGAGAGGGGAACCCAGCCATGTGAAGGAGACCTGAGCAAGCTGAAGGTTTCTGTAACAGTTGAGGGTGAAGCCAAGGTTCCTAGTGGATGTTTGTTTCAACCATGTAATTGGCAAAGCCCAGCTACGGACAGCTGACATCGCAGAGTCTGTCAGCTGGCAGAGGCCCCAGTTCATTTCCAATCTGTGTGCTAATGATGGTCACCATCACCCGGATCATCATCGTCTTAGACATGGATGACAAAGGCACACCGGGGACCTCTGTTTCAAATGAGCTGCTTCTTAGCCAACCCTGGACTCTCTAGAGCGACTTTCTACAAAATTAAAGGATTATGAAGCTGAAAGGGGCCCACGGAGATCATCAGTTCTGGCTTCTTGCCTTCTGATGGAACTTAACCCTTATAAAAATAGTTACAGTAGAGGAAATTGTGCCAAACTTACTTTTATATGTTATTCTTGTGATGGTATCTCTGTTGAGCATTCGATTAAGAAACGGGTTTGATGAATCAGCAACCTAGGGGAGAAAAGAAAGTATTTATGGAGGGGAAGCACTCTCCCAGAAAAACATCACCCTGATGCATTCACTTACTTATTTGTATTCCTTGGTTCCTTCCATGGGTCACCAAAACCAGTCTCATGACGAGAATGGTCAACGTTGTTCTAATATTGTGTGAAAAAGTCTATGACCGAGTCATAGGTGTCAGGGTATTAGAGAAAGGCCACCCAGCACCTGAGGAACCTGGGGAGGCAAGGCACAAGCTGATGGAGAGTGGTAAGGGAGGCAAGGACAGGCCAAATGTTTCATACAGAGCGTCTGTACTTGAACAAGCATGGGGTGGTGAGAACTAGACATGATCATCCAAGTATTTCAGTGTAAGTGTAGTTGGAGCTGAGGGTGTGGGGCAAGATGGGAGATGGAGCCAGAGGGGCAGGCAGGCATTAGTTCATAGGCAGCACTTAGTATCGTGTTCTATCTTTTAAATATTATTCTGTAGGACTGAGGAATCATCCCAAGGTCTTGACTTGGGGAAGAGAGTGACATGTTAGGGAGTGGATGTTTATCTAATGCAGGATAGAATGAGGAAGTGAAATGGAAGGCAGGGAGGAAGGAGGCATTTAGAATAGAGGAATTAAGACATGGAAAACACTTTAATATATAATCTTGTTGTACCACTGCTCATTATTGCAGGAATTGACTATATCACAACCGGTGTCATTTTGTCAATCAGTCTTTAATCCTTACGTCTATCCACTCACCCAACTTCTCCATCTATCGCTCCACCCATCGATCCACCCAGTAAATATTTACTGATGGCCTGTTACGGAACGAGCATTGCACTGCATGTCCAGGGCTCAGCCTCCATTTCTTGCCTACTCTGTTACATCTCTAAATTCTCCTTTTAGGCAAAGAATCCAAACCCGAAGGAACATCAACCACAAAACCACCCCTTGTGAGCCTGTAATGTGGCCCCACTTGACTATATACACTGTTTTCTTAACATCCCCCTTTTACTCAGCCTTTTCCAAGCAGCATTGTTCATCCTTGTCATTTATCTCCTACCGCGCTCCGCTCTGCTCTGTAATTTATGCCTCGCCTGCTAATCGGATGTTGTGACACATCAACATCTTGAATCTGATTTATTCTGAGGGTTGGAAAAATTGCAGCCGGTGATGATTATTATTAGGTAAGCAACAGGTAATTTTAGTTCGGGGAAAGCACACTGTTTATTTTCCCTCCATCTGTCTCTCTCTCTTCACAGTTTTTTGGGTGTGTGATGGTAAGATGCACAGCAAAGGAACTTGCTCAATGTTTGAAGGAGGCAAAAGCCCACCCCCACATGGAGAAAAGTCCCAAACTGAACACAGTTGCTGCCAATGTGAGTGCCAAATTCAACTACTATTCTGACACCTCTTCAGTTTTTAAAAGATAGCCTGAAGCCTTCTGTCTGTGCTGATAGACCTTTATGAAAGAAGGACCCAAAATATATGTATATTTTTTGCAGCTGGAAAGGCACCTCACCATGCCTCTTAATGACTGGGAACCTGGTACTTAGTGAATCGAGGCAGCACTAGCCTTAGGACCAGGGCCTTTGGGTTGATTAAAAGTAATTGGAAAATTTCCAGTTACACCCAGATGATGTGTGGGCTCTGCTGTGTCGGTTGTGTGGGTGAGAGGATAAAATATGTACTTGGCATAAGTGAGCTTAAGTGGGAAGTTAATGGTGTGTGATGGAGCAGCATTTACAGCCAAATCTCAGTTCTCTGTGATCATGGGCAGGATTAGGGCTAGGGGAGGACAGAGATAAATAAAACCTACAGATGAACAAGCTCTCATTTTAGCCAATAATTTTGATCCTTCAATGGCTTCGTTTATATTCAGAGTGACATCTCTAGAGCTAGACTGCCTGAGTATGGAACTTCTAGTCTCCTATTCTTGCCTACCCTGTAGGAAAGCTAGGATGGGGAACTAGGTCACAAGGAGAGAAGGATGTTTATCCTTAGGGACCAAGTGTTCAACTCTCTTCTGGATACCAGGGCCCAACAGAGAGCTGGCATGAATTCTATGCCCAATCTGTACTTTGAGGTGAGTGAATGAAGAAATACAACCTGGGGAAGTTGCCATAGAGTTGATTATCTGGAGCTGACTGTGTGGGACAGATAAATATGCCCTGACTTATTCTGAGAGGTAGTCAGAAAGCTTCAGGTTTGCTCAGTGAAAGAATGGGAGCATCTCCAGGGGCTAAACTGTCCTGGGAAGATGCTGGAGCCGATTGCCTCCCCTTGCTTGACTTCAGTTTTGGGACCTAAAACTGCCCACAGGGAAGCAGCCTGGACTTGCCAGATCAGACAGTTGTCATCCTGGTGGAGCGAGTGTTTCTGCAAACACCTGTGAAACCTGCCAGTGGTTTGCTGATGCTGGAAGGTGGCTTCCATCACTCCATAATGTGCCCAGGCCTTGAGGGTGAGAGGAGCTGTATGCCCAGTGATGCAGAGTGAGAGCTGAGACCAAGACACTTCCCTGGTACAGGATTGTTGACCTGAGGGAATTACTCATGGGCAAGGTGGCTACAGGAAGGATGCAGGAGGAAGGGTATGAGTGAGCTCTTGGACACATGTGACAATACTGAGATATTGGGATACTTCTTAAATATCACAGAAAATGTGGACTGCCGAACAAACTATACATTGATTTAAAATTCTTTGCATCAAAATGAACTTTGGAAAGTACTCTATCACCTGCAGATTTTACAACAATGTAGAGAAGGCAGCTCAGGCTATAAACAGCAGTTTGTTACCAGTGTCATACTTGGGACTGGGCAAGGCATCCAGTGTGTGTCCCCTGTTCTTGTGAGTAGCAAGGGAAGGTCCATGTGTAGGACAGATGGGATTAGATGCTGCTTTCTTTCAGCTGCTCTGTTAGGGAGGCACAGAATGGGAATGATATCAATATTGTTCAAGTAAGGCAAGACCTGGATTCCTCCCCTGGTGGACGTATTATGAGCTATCTGAACTTGCACAGAATGCCAAAGATTCTTGGAACCACTTTCCTCATCTCTAAAGTAAGGAATCTAATATCCAAACCTTAGGTAATTGTTAGTGTTATGTAAATGACAGTATAGATGCAAACTACAAAGCAGAGTGCCTGAAATTCTGGAATTTACTCTTTACAATTCTAAGACAATATAGAAAGGGATCTGGCAGCAATTGAGCTGGAACTGATTTCCTTTGAGGTGTCAGGCCACAAACACCTGAAAAGAGAACTTCCCTGGGTAAATGCCTTTTTCTCCCTGTGTGAATGTGTTCGGGGCAGTCATATTATGGAGATGCACCTGTCCTACACACAACTCTGCCCTGCCCTGACCCTGGAGAGTGAGGAAGCTAGCAGGAGGCATGGGTTTGGAGAGGGTGGCCAGATGGGGTGAAGTGCCTGTTGTACACCAGGTGTTCTGAGGGGAAGAAGGGGCAGTGTTCTCTGGGGTCCTAGTGCCACTTCTTCTGAATAGCAAGAGCTCTGTTAAACTGCTGTGATGAATGCTGATCCATCGTCACCAGATTCCAAGTTCAAGTCAGGTCACCTTCTCCAACGGTCTGGCCAAAATTTCCCCAGAGGCTAACATAGTGAATAACAACTTTTTGCAGCCACCACACATTATATATATATATATATATAACATATATATATATATATGTTATATAAATAAATAAATAAAATCTCCATTTGGAAAGGTAACTTTTAATTGAAAAAATTTGTCTTCATTAGACATCTGCTAACATCCTGAAGATCATACTTTAAATGACGGCAGTTTTCTTGGGTGGAGATTTTATGTTGTTGACAGCTAATGGAGAAGTGGAGCCTCTCTACAATGCCATAAAGCCAGGGTGGATGACTGATCTTTGCCTCATTTTACCCCACAATGCTTATGAGGGGGCACGAAGGTAAGGGTGGAAAATGATACTCAGAACAGTGCTAGAGCAGCTGGGAGGAGATGTTCATGTTTATTTAGAGGCAGAGAGACAGCGGGTCCTCCCAGCTGCTTGTTTGCTTTTCAAATGCCCACAGCAGCCCGGGCTGGAGCAGGCTTAAAAACAGCTTAGTACTTAATTGATATCTCCCATGTAAGCGGCTCGGTTACCTAGGTTGCCTCTCCCTTCCTCTCAAGGTTCACCTTAGCAGGAGGCTAGAGTTGAGAGCACAAGCAGGGCTTGAACCCAGCACTCAGATATGGGGTCTGGGCATCCCAAGTGGTGCCTTACCTGCTGCACTAAATGCCCACTGCAGTGACAGGTTGAGAGCAGGGCTTAAGGGGAAAGGAAAGTTGGTATTTCCCTTGCTTTTCACAGACGCTGGTGCAACTGACTGATGGAAGTTCTTTACTCCTATTGGACTTCAGTACTACCGCCATCCCTCTATTGCACCCTCTGATTGTATCATATTAGGCATGACCTGAAATGTACCCCTGCATCCAGCTGCCTGAAGCCCCAGGTTCTGGTGTTATGAAACGAATCCCCATCGCTTCTCATTGTAGGAGACCTCACTCTCCATAGTCTCGTGAACATAAAGGCCACCACCCTTCAGCTTTTGTTGGCATGGAAGTCAGAGGCCATTGCCCCTTGGAATACTTCACATTGAGAGACTATAAACTGATACGGGGGGTAGGTCGGGATGCGAGAAGCGGAGGATGAAGGCTTAAGAGAGACTTACTTTTATAAATATAGAAACTACCACCAATCCATTTGGGCTCTTTGCAGCTTCTGTGACATTTGTATATAACTCATGGTTATAGTGGATGAGCTGCACCTGGAAGGAGAGAAAAACAGGAATAAGAACAATCCAGCATTAAAATGTGAGAGACACAGCATATGCCCCTGTAGAAAGGTCAAGTGCAAAGTACAGGACACAGAAGAATCATCAACAAGACAGTCTTCTAATGGAAGAGATTTCAGAGGGGTGTGTGTGTGTGTGTGTGAGTGAAATGCATGCAGACAGATGCACACCCTTACACTAATACCTCACATATGTGCAAGGGTTTGTGATAATCAGTGTGTTTTTAATAAACTTCATGTCCATCTGGCATTGGCTATCTGCAGGGCATTTTCCCTAACATGCATAGAAAGAGAATTTTTCTCATTTGGAATGGAACTGCCATGCAGAGGCAGCCGTGCTCGCCCCACTGCACCAACAACTGACACTGGCCGTGAGTAAATCTTCCAGGCAGCCTTCAGGCAACCGGGGAGCTGTTAGGTCCTGAGTCAGCCCAGGGATGCTGAGAGGAGACTACCTAACTGTGTGTAGGGGGGTTGTGCTTCTGGCGTGCAGAGTGCTGAAGGCTCCAGCTCTCTGGGCACCAGCCTGCTCAGGACACCGGGCTGTGCCTCCACGCTTCAGCCCGGATCAGCAATCCGCTGGCAGAGTTCATGTAACACAGTGTGGGGGAACAGAAGGGGTTCTGGGTTCAGGCGCCAGTCAATTGGGTGTCCCTTCTGTTACTTAAAACATATTGTTCAAATTCCACTGATTTTTTTTTTTTCGGCTACATGATCAAGTTATTCCACATCACTGAAACCCAATTGCTTCCTCTGAAAAATGGGCAGAATATTCTCTCTCCTTGGCGATAGCTTTAAAATATCTTTTTGGAAAGCATGAAAGTATAATTTGTATACCAAATTAAAAATATAAAGTTATAGGTTTCCTCTCGCTTCTGTCTTAACACAGCCCCAGTGATAACATCTTGTATTTGAATATTTGTCTAGGTTTTTTTTTTGTGTGTGTGTGCTTAGAGATCAGATAGTTTAAAAACAAAAGCGCAATAATTTATAATAATGATTTTGTTTTTAAAAAATACAGTAGTTTGGCTGTCTTTTGAAATTAATATGTATAGTTCTCCCTGAGTTATTCTTGGAGCTGTAGAATTCTCCATGGCAAGAATGCCCCATCACATATCTGAACATTCCTTCACTGGCTTTCAAGCTATTTTCATTACATTGCACCGTAGAAACAACATCACAGCAAGTACATCATCCATATTCTGCTAATACTATCAGCATTTCCACAGGCTGATCTAAGAATTTAGTAAGCGTGTGTGTAAGAATAGTTTGTGATTCTGAAAGCATGAGAGCATTATTGCCAACATCCTGTCTTACATTAGAAAAAGAGGCGAGGTTTTATAAGTTGAGAATGTCAGTGGTCAAGTCTTGCAACCTTCACTGTCCAAGACCACCAATGCTTGTTTTGATTTAACTCACCAGACACTAGTGTTTGTTGCAGTCTGTGCTAGAGGGCGGTGGGAGTTGAGAAGTGGTGGGAACAGTCAGCATCAGCAGTCTATCCTGGCCCCTGCAGTGGATGGCATCTGGATGTGAGACTATTCATAATCTTATGAGTGAGTGGAGATTCTCATGGAGCGCATGTTGACTGCTGCTCAGGAGACATTTCATCTGGTGATTTCTTTTTGACTTGTCAGTTTTGCCAGTGGAGACAGATGTTGGACAACAGCAACTCCACCGTTGGAAGGGTGACCACAGGCAGGACACTATCAAGCCTGGACTTGTTGATGCCCCTTCCTTTGCCACTCTTCTCCACTCTCAGTAACAGGAAGGGCTCCTGGCAGGTGTCACCATGGGGAAGAAGCAGGAGCCATGGTAACCTCACTCGCCCAACATGTTTCTTTCCCTGTGTTGAATAAGCTTCTTCAAGGGGACAAGGCGCAGGTGGAAGGGACTGCAGAGATGAACACTCTTGGCTTGTGTGGTATGCCGCTCCTGTATGTTTACCTGGTGAGGAGGCACTAAGAAATTCCCTTGGCTGTCTAACCTCCAGGAGCACCTGAGGAGTAGGAGCTAGGAAGTGGCCAGGCGCCTTGCTCCCACCTGTGAGAACCTAATTCGAGCATCATAAAGTGAGACGGAAGAATAACCTGGGGCTGGCAGCAGTTAATGCACTCACAGCAAGATCTGACTTAAAGAAGAACATGGGTTCCCTTCTACCCCTTCCAGGTCTGTAGTGGCAATTACAGTTCCTGCAGTTACTGCCTTTAGTTTCTTCCTAGCCAGACAGAATGGTGTCAATCCAATATCCACTAACCACTCATAACATGCATAACTTAATTGCAGAGCAAGAGAGTGGTTATTTCCACTTGCGTGAGGCTCAGAGTGACAGGTGCCACAACCAGGGCATTTTCTGTGTCCAAGCCTTCCCAGGCCCGCTGTGACGAATACTACCTTGAGTCTTGTGTTCTCACCCCAGAAATACTGCCTCATCTTGGTCCTTTACAGGAGCCTGGAATTCATTTGTTCCAAAAATCTTGGAGGGCCAAATATGTGTCAAGAATGGTTGGAATGAAGACAAATAATGCCTCCCTTTCAGAGAGAGGCAAGCACATTAAGGAGAACAAAAGATTTTAGTTTACAAAGTGAAAGGTGGTCTTGAAGAGAATGGGTGATGGTGCAAAAGTGGGGTGAACATTTGGTGAAGGCCGCTCTGGAGAGGTGATGTGTGAGTTGTGCCAGGTGTGGGAAGACAGGAAAGAGGGACAGCTGGTGTGAAGGGCCTGAGGTGGGAAAACACAGCTGAGAATAGTTGGGGAAAGGGGGGAAATGGCTGTGGTTGGAAACAGCTACACAGGATTTCCAAAGCATGGTGAGCAGACATTTTTCTGTCCCAAGTACAACAGCCAGCAACTGGTGAAAAGGAAGAAATGGACTCATCTGATGTGCATTTTTAAGAAATCTCTGGTAGTGAGGAGGAAAAGACAGTGGAGCCTTGCCTAACCTTCATTTTGTTTTAAAAGATTTTTTTTTTGTTTCTTTTGCAAGGGTGAAAAGCACAGGCGGGGGAGGAGGAGGAGAGAAAGAAGTTTTTGCTTTTATTATGTTTTTAAATTTTTTAAAATGAAAAGATAATAGAAATTTTTGCTTTCATTGTGTTTTTAAATTTTTTAAAATGAAAAGATAATAGATTTTCATAGACAAAATTATAAGAAAATGGGTGTGCCGGGCTCTCACTCCTTGCCCTCTCTCAACACCCCTCCTTCTTACTTTTTAAAAAAATGTTTGCAAAGACATGTTTTCGATTTTTTTCAGTAACTAAAATGTAGGAAGACCACAGTTCCACAGGCCTATAAAAAGGACTAAAAATAATCATATCACAAAATGTCCCTTTCGTTCTTGTATATTTTTTTGTGTTCTATATTAATTGCCACATATCAGAAAATATACAATATTTATTCTGGGGGGGTATTTGGCTTATTTCACTAAGCATAATGGTTTCTAGATACATCCTTTTTATTGCAGAAGACAGAATTTCATTCATTTTATGGCTGAGTAACTTTCCATGGTGTGTATATACACACATATTGTGTGTATAAACACAGTTTGTTTATGCAGTCATCCAGTTGATAGAAATTTGGATGGATTCCACCAATTTCTAAGATCTTACTTGTTTTTATTTGAAAGAGATTTACAGAAAGAAGGACAGACAGACAGCTTTTCCATCCACTGATTCACTCTCCAAATGGCCACTATGGCTGGAGCTGAGCTGATCTGAAGCCAGGAGCCTCTGCAAGGTCTTTTACATGGCTTCAGAGATCCAAGAACTTAAACCATCCTCTACTGCCCTTCTAGTCCATACCTGGGAGTTGGATCAGAAGTGGAATAACGGACTTATCCCTTTGATAAAATCTCCTAGCTTTGCACACTGCAGCTTCCTCTATTCATCTCGTCAAGATGACTCCTCCTCCATGTTAGTTGCCAGGAACATTGCCCACCCCACCAACCCTTGTGCACATTGGTGCCCCCAGAGAGACTCAAAGTCATTGCAATCTTCCAGTTGTCCCTCAGGCAACATCAACAGTGTTACCAGCTTCCTTGGACTCCTCTCACCTCACTCCAAGAAGAGAACATCTACTCCAGTCCCTGGCTGTGGGAGTTGGGTGGTGTCTCTGCTTAATGCTGCTGTGTTGGCACTGTCCACATAGCTCCATGGTGTCTTTCCTCTTTCTGTAGAATTTCCAATTCTGCAAACATTTCTCCAATCTCCCGTGGGAAAATTTCCTCTCCTTTTCTTCCCATGGTTCCAAAATTAGCACATCTTTTTCCTTTTTAGCCATCTTGGATCTTAAAAACATATTTCCATTTGCTGGCTCATTGCCCAGATAGCCACAATGGCCAGTGGCCAGAGCTGGGCCATAACAAAGCCATATGTCAGTGATGCTACCCTGGTATCCTACATGGAAGACAGAATCTAAGTATTGGGACCTTCTTTTGCCTTGCAGTAGCATTGGCAGGAAGCCTGACTGTAAGAGGAGCAGCTGGCTGGGTTCAAACTCTAATACAGGATGCCAGCATGGCCTGCAGCAGCTCAACTGTTTGCAGCACAGTACCAGTTCCTGGCTTCTGTTTGGGTCTCTTGGAGAGATGGGTGTCTGTCTCAATTGGACTAAAGGCAAGCCTTCTCATATGCCCCACCATCAAAGCAAACATCATGGAAATCACTGGCTAGTAGTGACAAGTAGCTCAGCTTGGATGCTAATGGCTAAGCACTCATCTGAATGAGCAGAACTGCTGCCAGCAAGGATGTCATTGGTTAAACTGGAAGTGGTCTCTGTTGTGCAGGCATTAGAGAGCTTTTCCTTTGTGGGGTGAGGTGACTCACCAGGTATGACTGGTGTTGCCCCTTACTGGGTAAGCAATGGAGGATAACCCAAAACCTTGGGACCCTGTACCTATGTGGGAGACCCGGAAGAAGCTCCAGACTCCTGCTTTGGATCAACTCAGCCCGGCCATTTGTGGAGGTAAAATAGT